GCCGAGCCTAGATTTTTATTTTTTATATGTTACTCCATCTTGAAAAATAGCCGGGTGTGTGTTGTGGTGAGCACCTATAGTCCCAGCTACTTGGGAGGCTGAGACAAGGAGAATCGCCTGAGCCCAAGAGTTGGAGGTTGCTGTGAGCAATGACACCACGGCACTCTACCAAGACCAACAAAGTGAGACTGTCTCAAAAAAAAAATTTTCTTTTTTAAAAACAGTTGATATTATGTACATTATCATTATTATTATTAAAGGCTTATTTTAAATATTATTCTTTGAAATGATTCTAAGATACTTTTAATTTAGAAGGAAATTATACCAAAATAAATTAGAACCCTTTTACATATGAACTCTGTCTACAACTGAATATCCCTTTAACAAAGAGGACTCGGAAAAGAGCGACAATTTTAACAGTATTTATATTATAGCTCTTGAAAGCTGAAGATTTATACAGTTGTGAAATTCTTACTAGAATTACAAGGAAATTTGTTGTTGTTGTTGTTGTTGTTGCAGGTTTTGGCCGGGGCTGGGTTTGAACCCTCTACCTCCAGCATATGGGGCCACCACCCTACAAGGAAGGTTTAATAAACACTCAGGAATCTAAATACACTTAATATTTGACATGATACAAATGTTCAACTTGAACACCTGTGGCTACACCGGACACCTATGTCTGCTTCCTCTAGCCCCAGGAATATTTTAGATTAATCTTACCTCTTCAAGCTTCTTCTCAATCTCCTTAAAGACAACATTTGCTTTAAATCCATCACCTGGAGAGCTGGTTGGAGCAGCCTCGATTTGATGAGTTCGAAAAGAACTGGAGAATAAATCAGTTTCAATTCATGCAGTCACATAGGTACCAGGTTTTTCAACATTTATACAATAGTTAGTGATTTCCAAAAACCCTAAGAATAAAGATGCTGTGACTCTTATCCAAAGGAAATCATTAGTAAGTAAATAAAACAATTAAGTTTTTCTTCCTATTTTCTCAACTAATCATGAGCTCATTAGGCACGAGGGATCATTTTTCAAAATACTGTACACCAGGGTTCCTCAAACTTTTTAAACAGGAGGCCAGTTCAGTGTCCCTTAGACCATTGGAGGGCCGGACTGCAGGCCCCAGGACGAGCCGGCTGCTAAGCAGGACAGGCAGCGGGCGGCAAAAACACCCAGTGGGCCAGATAAATGTCCTCAGCGGGCTGCATCCGTGGCCCGCGGGCCATAGTTGGAGGACGCCTGCTATACACCAAAGATGCTACCCTAATGAACAATGTGCTAGCTAGGGGAAGAGACAACTAGCAAGTGAAAAGAATAAAGAAAAAATATCTTTACTATGAAGAAAATAAGGCAGGCTCAGAGGATAAAGAGTACAGTATATTTATGTGTAGGGTGTGCTGTTTTCTAGAGCACGATCAAGAAAGGTCTTCCTGAGGAGGTGATATTTAAATGAGGTCTTAAAATAGTGAATGACCCAGTCCCACAAAGATTTAGGCAGGGAAGCCAGTTCTAGCCTGAGAGAATTCTGTAAAGAACTAGAAGACCATGCCTGGTGGGTGGCTCCTTCCTAGCACTCTGGGAGGCCATGTAGGGTGGATTGCCTGAGCTGAGAAGTTTGAGACCAGCCTGGGCAAAAGTGAGCTATGTCTCAACCCCAGTCTCTACTAAAAATAGAAAAACTAGCAAGGTGTTGTGGCAGGCACCTGTAGTCCCAGCTACTTGGGAGGCTGAGGCAAGAGGATTGCTTGAGCCTAGGAGCTTGAGGTTGCTGTGAGCTATGATGCTACAGCATTCTGCCCTGAGGCAACAGAGTCTGTCCCAAAAAAAAAAAAAAAAAAAAAAAAAACAGAAAGAAACAGAGGGTGGAGAAAGTGAAGGGCTTTATAAATCAGTCAGGCAATTCAGTTTTAAGTATAATAGAAACGATAGGTTATAAGCTAGAGTGGAACAATCCAATTCACATGTTTCTAAAAAACAATCTGGCTGCCAGCTGGAAGATGGACGGTAAGGGGGCAAGTGTGGCCCACAGCAGTCAATTAACAGGCTTCTGCAGACGTCCACGACAGAGATGACGGGAATTAAAACAGATTATAAGGCAATGGGAAATAAGCAGAGGTTGAACTTAAGATTTCTATTTTTCCTGCAACACAAGACATGAATTTAACAACCATCTGCCCATTGGCTGTTTCATATTTAGGAAAAAACCACAGACAAAAAAATAGCCTGATGTGGCAGAAGGAACCAGCCTTCCTAACCATGAAGTCCTGGGATGGAATGCCAACGGCCTCCTCCACTCGCTGGCAACATGATCCTGAGCAAGTTACTTCATCCCGTGCAGGGCAGGGATGTAGAAGTGGAGGGTACCAATGGCTTTGTGGAATCAAATGGAATCCTGTGTAGAAGGCAGCTGGCAGAGAACCTGGGCCATGGTGAAAACATAACAGCCATTAACTGTTAAGGCTCTAGAACGGTGGTTATCAACCTTCCTAATGCCGCGGCCCTTTAATACAGTTCCTGTGGGTCATGACCCACAGGTTAGAACCGCTGCTCTCAAGTTTCAAGTGTTAGGTATGAACCAAAAAGCATCTAGCATGTTAAAGAGTGACACGAAAGGAAACTGGAGAACAGAGATCTGATCATGCAAGCCAGCCAAAGTAGAGAACTTGGGATGCCACAGAAATAACATAGAAGTGAAATAGTTTGATTTGTGATTATTCTTACAGCAGCCTGCTGAATGAATGGGGGGCAGGGGAATGCCAAGAATAGGGGCCAGGGACTATTTAGGAAGCTGTAGTAATAGTCCAAATAGAAGTGAATGGCAGCTTGGACTAGGAGGCAGTTTGCCAGTGGAGATGGAGAGAAGGAAGTAGATTCAAAATGGAGTAAGAATCCACAGGTCTTGCTGCCGTGGGGGAGGGAGATCTAAGAGGGAAGTGGCGAGGATTATCCTGGTGTTTGGCTGGAGACACTGGGTGATGGTAGTGCCATTGACCAAGATAAGGAAGAATAAGTGGGAGTTGAGGGGATGTGAGACAAGAGCAGGAGCTTAGCAGAGAGGTCCAGGCAGAGATGCAGGACCATCAGCATAACGAAAGCATTTCAATCCATGGGAATGGACCAAAAGGCAATTACAGAGAAAGAACAGAGGACAGGGCAATGCCCTTTAAGAACTCCTAATTCAGAGGTCAGGAGAAGCCAAAGCAGCAGCCAGTGGTGCAAAGTGAAAAGCTGAAGAGCACAGCGTCACAGGAGCCAGGCGGGAGAGACGCCAGGAGGGAGGAGCAAACTACATCAAGCACTACCCAAAGGTCAAATACTCATCCGATCCAGCATGTGGAAAGAACAGAAGAGGTTTAAATGGTGGAGGGTGGAGGTCAGATTATAGCAAATTAAAAGAATGAACAGGAGAGGGAAATACAGACAGTTTGGCTCTTTGGAGGCACAGATTTAGGAGAACAGTGAAGTGTGGTGTCAAGGAAGGTTTGTGTTTTGGGAGGGACAGGATAAAAATGACCTCTTTATTTTGACTTCTCTCAAAGAAATGCAGAATTTCCTTCTGCATGTGAGCATAGGGAGTCCGCTAACATTTTTTTCCCTTTCCCACAATTTACTGTGCTAAAATATACATAACATAAAATTCACTACCCTAACATTTAAAACTTACAATTCGGTGGTATCAAATGCATTCATATTATGGGACTACCATACCACATCCATCTCTATAACTCTTTTCATCTTGCAAAGCCCAAACTCTACTCATTAAATGTTAACTTCCCATTCTCCCCTCCCCGACCCCTGGCTACCACCATCCTACTTTTCTACCATTATACTGCAATTTTGATTACTACAGATACCTCATAAGTGGAATTCCACAGTATTTGTCTTTTTGTGACTGGTTTATATCACTTGGCATAATGTCCTCCAGGTTCAGCCATGTTGCAGAACTCTAAGGAAGGTATGATTTTATTTTAAGATTAATCTATCAGAACATGTATGTCTGATAATGATAATGAACCAGGGGAAGGAGATGGAAGGAGAGACTTTGTGAGAAAGTGACAGAGGATGGGATCTAGTGGCCTATGACTTGAGGAAAAGAAAGAGGATCAGATGGGTACAACTCCAGTGGGTCTGTTATCTTGGGATGGAAGTTGAGAGAGTTTGGATTTCATAGGCTTTTATTTTCTCAAAAAAATACAAGGCAAAGTAATCAGCAGACAGCAAGCGTGAAAGGGTGGTGTGGAAATTAGTCCTGAGAAGCTGAAAAGCGAGCCTAATAAAGGAACCAATTAAGGATTAGGAGAAAGGACTGGAACGTGGGCTGCAGCGGTGCTGACTGCGAGCCCCTCTCAGAAGGCTCCCCAAGCCGCGAGCCCCTCTCAGAAGGCTCCCCAAGCTTTCCCCGCAGCTGCTCCGTGTGCCTGAAAACCTCCGTCTTAGCAAACTACCTCTCACCCTTCAACATTCTGCCCAGGAAATCCCTTTTCTCTGAAACCCTATTAAATATCAGCTTCACAAGAGCAGATACCACATCTTAAAAAAAAAAAAAA